GATTCCTCATGCTTCCTATTCTGCCATCTTTCCAGGATCCTCTTCTCTGTCCAATTTTACAAATATCTTTCCTGTGTTGTACAATGAACTAATAAATCATAAGAGCAGTCACCAATATTCCAGGCACTGTTCTACACATTCTACATGAATTCATTCATTTAATCCTTACAACAACCTTTGAGGTTGGAGTTACTTTCTCCATTTAAAATTTTTTACTACTTTCTAAAAATTTGGTCTTTTTAGATATACATGACAGTAGAGTGTGTTTGGACGTATTTATACATACATGAAGTAGAACTTATTCTAATTAGGATTCTAGTCTGTGGTTGTACATACATGATGTGGAGTTTTACTGGGGGTGTATTCATACACGAACATAGGGAARTTATGTCCAATTCATTCTACTGTCTATTTCCATCCCCCCTCCCTTCCCTTCATTCCCTTTTGTCTAATCCAATGCACTTCTATCTTTCTTCATTTTGTAGATGAGGAAAGTAAAACACAGAGAGAGATTGGTGTAAGAACTTGCCCACTCAGTAGCTGGGATTCAAACCTGAGGAGTCTGGCTCCAAAGTCTACACCTTTCTGTAATAAATAAATGAATGATCCAACAAACTTGTTCAAACAGAACCTCCCTCAGTGTATCCCACAGCAGCACGAGGAAGGGCTCTCCATGGTAGAGTGGGGCTGGGGAAGGGAGGGTTTCTGGAAGAGGCAATGCCTGCGTTGAAGTGTGAATAAGTAAGAGATGGGTGGGTCAAGGGGCACTTCTGTAGGCGGCAAAAGAGGAGCAAAGACCTGGAAATGCCACACTTTACAGGAAGYCCTATCAGCTGGGTGTGCTGGAGCACCCCGTGGAGGCAGCGCAGAGCAAGAAAGTGGGCTGTCCTGAGACACAAACTGAGTGCTCCCAGGCTCCAGGAAGAGAAAGTGAGGGGAACAGCCATGCCTTTGGAAAGGAGGTGGCAGGGTTGGGATGCCAGTGAGGAGGACTGCAGCTGGAAGCATTCCCAGCAGGGCAAAAAGCACGGGAGTGGGAGAGTGGGAGAGAAATATTTAGGGACACATTTGATTTGGCAGGAGGGGAGGAACGTTCATCTAGGGACTGCTGAGACACCAGCACAGGCCTGCGCACAGAATCCTGCCCTGCAGCTGAATGGCTGCAGTTATCTCACTGGTCCAGTTTTAAGTCCCAGCTGTGTGACCGAGGATGAGCCACTGCAGAATTTGTTTCCACGTCTGTAAAATGAAGGTGATAATCAGCTACCTAAGAAGTTCATGCAGAGGTTTAAAAATGAGAATGTGTTGTGGAAGAACTTTGCCAACACTAAGGCATTCTGCTGTGTCTTCCAGTCCTCATAATGACGTCAGATCACCAGAGGGGCTTTTAAAAAACATAACATGCCACATGCCAACCCAGATGGGCAGGACGCGAAGGTGGTGGGAGACACGTTCTTTTTCTCCATGCTCTCCTTTCTGTTCTTTCCTCRTGTAGTCCTGATGCTCTGTTGACTTTAGACCTGCCAACTTCTGACAGCAGAAGGAAACGTAGCATGAAAAACAGAGATTCTGGAGGTTTGGGGAGATGCATTGGGTTTGGAGGGTGTTCTGGTCAGGGCTTGATAGCTCTGACAAGCGAGAGAAAAAAGATCTTTCTCAAAGTGTTAAACAATGAGCAAAGCAGCCAAAGGATTAGTGGTGCTTTTAACCTCCATTGGTCACAGAGAAAAAAGATCCTCAAACAATCCTTCCCAGCCTCACAACGGTGGGCAGGTACCTCTATTCAAAGCTCACAACACCCTACACTCCCAACACATTTGCATCTATATGAACTCATTTGATCTTCCCAATATGCTTGGGAAGCAGGATTTCTTGTGTATCTCCATTTTTAAAAAAATTTTTTCTTCTTTCTTTTTAGATATACATGACTGTAGAGTATATTTTTTGACATATATACATGGAGTATAACTTATTCAAATGAGGGTTTATCTCCATTTTATAGCCAAGGAGACTGAGGGGAAAAGTGACTTGCCCAAGGTTSACAGTTAGCCAGAAACAGAGTGACGATTTATACCTGCTTTCTACTACACCGTACTTTGCTCCTCCTGGAGATTGCAGGTAGTAGAAAGATCAATGGAGTCCTCTTTTCTAACTTTACAGAGAATGTGCTGAGTAACCTCAGTCAGGTTACTTGCCCTTTCAGGGCCTCTCCACTGTTATTCTAGGGTGGTTATTGTTGACATAAAAATGACATAATGACTTTTTTTTCAGGTGCTGGGCAAACCCAGGGCCTCACATATGCCAGGCAATCACCATCACTGAGTTGTATCCTCAACCCCAAAGTACCCGGCACAGTCACTGGAATGTCTCAGTGGCCAGGATGGGCACAAAAGGGGAGGGCGGAAGAATGGCGACAGTGACAGTCCTTAGGTACAAAGTGACTGGAAACGTAATAGAAGAAGGGACCAACTTTGCCAGAGGGTTTACTGGAGGAAGGAAGCATTGGACAGAGACTTAAAGAATACATGATACTACTGTCCCTTCACCTCCCTCCTCCCTTTATTTCTACATGACTAGAGCTTAGGATATAGAATAGGGGTGACCACAGGCCTCCAATTGTTTGGCTTTTGCCATTGTAAGCTTTTAAAAGACAAGTGTCAGGGTCCATTTTGCAGATTTGCTGTTTAGAAAGGTCACTCTTAATAGCAGTGTGGACAGCAGATAGGAGGGCAGAGCCTCAAGGCAGAGAGATGGTTAACCTGAGGCCCRGGGATGGGAGGGATAAGTAAACTGATGGAGACTCTCCCTGGAGGCCACCTTCCAGGTAGGRAAGACAAGCTACCAGCAAGGAGTGAAGAGTTGTTTACCACATTGATGTGAAATGAGAAGCCCTCACCAAGAAAGTGTAGTGGTAGTTAGTGTCCCTAAGTTTTCTGGAAGTTGAGTACTACTCCCTCCACAACTCCACATCCAGGGAAGGGAGGGTGAAAGTCAGGCCAGGGCAAGCGGGTTCCCAAAAGAACCTCCCCATGAGGATAGAGGAGGCAGCAGTCAAAGACACTGGACAAGTCAGAGTCAAGGGATCATTCCCCCAGTCCCTCCCCTCCCAAGCCTGCAAGACTTTCAGCCTCCACCCCAATCCCTTCTGGGAGACATTTTAGTAATTACAACCACACAATGAAGCTTCCTGTGAGCCAGGTTAAAGCTTTACCTATGTTACTTGTTTACTCCTCACCACAACCTCTTTTACAATTGCAGAAACTGTTTCAGTGGTTATGTGACTTACCTAAGGTGACCCAGAGCTGCTAAGTGCAGGACTGGAAYCTGAAGTCTGTCCAAGCCGGGACCTCTACAGACTTTCATTTCAGGTCTCTCTCCCATCTAGGCAGAGAGTCTTTGGGTGGGGGGTGGGGGAAAGACAGTTCAACTCCTCCTCAAGGGCCCCAGGTGGTGCAAAGTTAAATTCCAGCAGACCCTTGTATTAAGCCAGACTATCTACTAAGCCAGACTGCTAAGGAGGACCCTGGCCATAAAGGAGCCTCTGGCACCATTTCAGAAGGTTTGATGAAGACTCTGAGAGGGCGTCCCAGTTCTGGAGGCTAGATTCTAACCAGGAAAGACAATGGGCAGATAAGAGAAAGGGTCTCTCCCAGCTCCCACACAGRGGAGACCAGGATCCCAACCTTCTCCTTACACCTCCCTAATTGGCAGGGTCACCCCACTCAATTCAGGTGAGTACCCTAAACCCCCTCAGACTATACTTGCTGGGGGAGGACCTACAARATCACTTCCTTCTCTGAGTAGCAAGTTTGACTTTGACCTCCCTTTCTTCCCCAGGCAGGCAGACACACACACACATACACACACACACACACAACTCACAAGCTCGAGCAACATTTCTTTTTTGTTGTTTATTTTAGTTTTGATTTTTGCATAAGAAAAGAAGAAGCAAAAAGGCGAGTATAACAAGTCTGGGCCTCTGTAGGGGGAACATTGCCCAATATCTTCACCCAGGGGCTCTCTCCAAGAGGGGAAAAAGTTCCTGGGAGGTCCTGGCTAAAACCAAAGCCTGCCTCCACCCCCTCATTGGATCTGTCAAGTGCCTGGGAACTGCCCTCCCTTCCCTGGAAGGGGGCTGGCATTACCTGGGTGTGTAGTCTTGGGAGCCTCATCCCTGCCCCCAGCTCAGCCTTCCAGGGAATGCATTCATCAGGTAATTTCTGCAAGCCCTATTTTATAAAGTTATTTGGCTACTTTCCTGCCCTTTTTTAGCATACAGGGGGGTGGAGAAGATGAGCTGCAGAGGGACAGACTTAAGCTGCTGCCTAGTCACATAGCAGCTTCCCTTCCTAGAAATCCAGCCAGAAGTCTATAGTTCCCTCCAGAAGAGAACGTTGGCTTTCTCACTCCTGGTCTGCCAGCTTTTTCTGCCTAAGCCGGGCTGTCCCCTCTGTGGGTTCCTCTTTCRGCAAGTCTTTCTCTGCTTCAGATTCTTGGTCGCTCAATAACATCACTGGATCCCTTTCACTCTTTTAATGAAATGGGGAGCGGGCAGAGAATTCCAGGAGAGGTAACTCTCATTCTCCCAATCTCTTTCTTACCAACAAATAATTTTCTCTCCTTCTCTTCGCGCGCGCACGCACACACACACACACACACACACACACACACACACACAATCCAGCGACCTCCAGATGTTCCCGACCGTGAGGCCATCTGCTGAGATTGCTCTGGCGCGCGGGAGGAGGGGGAAGGGATCCTGGATGCAGGAAGCCGGGAGCAACGCCGATTGGAGTAGGTGGGAGCTGCGCACTTTTGAGACGCTCCCTAGGATGGAACCCGGGCTCCGGCAGAGGCGGGGCTGGGAGCACKCCGGGCAAGGCCGGCAATTTGGCGACACTCCCTGAGCCGCCGGGCCGCCGGCCGGAGTCGCCACTGGGCGCTGGGCAGCCGGAGTCCCGCGGCGGGCGGGGACTGGGGGCGGGCCGCGCGGCGCGGAGAAAAGCGCCGGCCCGAGGGCCAGCGCAGGGCCGCCTAGGTGAGCGTGCTGAGGAGGCAGCTGCGTAGCTTTCCAGGTGGGTGCGGGTCGTCAGGTGGAGCGGGAGTCAGCGCGGCGGGCGAAGGTCCGGAGCCCCCACCGCTCCTAGCCATTCCCGGGCGGACGGCGCCCGGGTCCCGCCAAGGCCCCTCAACTTTACCTGGAGCCAGGGCGACAGCAGCCGCTGCCGGGCGCCCCGGACTCGGCGGCAGTGGGGAACCCGGACCAGGGGGAGAGGGCTTCCAGGAGACAAAGGCGCTGCCCGGGTGCCGTGGGCGTGGGCCGTCCCCTGTGGGGTCTTTGTGCGGACACGTGCATCTCACTGTTGTGGGACTTTGTGGATTTGGCTTCAGGGACGTGCATCCGCCTGTGCCTTTGTGTGTCGGTGACTCTGCACAGCTGTTTTGCGCCGGTGCCCACGTTTTGTGGACTCGCGTTTGGTGGTGGCTGCCGGTGGGCTCACCGTTGTGTGTCCGCGTACGTGGTCTGTGCTGTCGACGTGTCTGGGTTGGGTGTCGGTGGAGTGTGTCGTGCTGAGAGCCGGACGCCGCCCTGACTCCTGGTTCCCCTGCTGTCCACCCGCCCCCCCCACCCCACCCCGACTTGGCTTCAAACTTTTCTCCGGGTTCCTCGGGAAACCGCCCCGGACCCCGCAGCCGCAGCCCGGCCTGAGCCGGGGGTGGGAGATCTCTGGCAGCCCGCCCCTCTTTCACCTCCTGAGGTCCTTAGGGCCGCGAGAGGATGGGATAGGATTGGTGAGTGGTCGGGGATCGACAGCGCCTGGGGACGGGCCGGGGCCAGGACTGGGCGGAGCGTGCCGGACACCCGCACCGGACCCTGCTGGGAGGAGGGAGGGGAGCGGCTGGTCCTGGTCTCTGGCCTGAGTCTGGAGAGCGGAGAGAAGGCTCCTGGCGTTGCCTGCCCCGTGCTTCTTGGAGAGAGTGTGTGACCGACAGAGACCTGTCTGCTTGGCAGAGAGAGAGGCTCCAGCCCGGGTTCCGCTTTGAGATCCGCTCTGCGTTTGCAGCCCGCCCCCCGGGTGAGGGGACCAGCCTTCCGATTCGGTAGGTGAGAAGGCCACAGCTTGTGGGGATACAGGCCTGCTCGCAGCGCCGGCTCCAGGACCCCTTGTTGGGTTGCGGGCAGGGGGAACCTTGCACACACTGATTTCGAACGCAACAGTCAGTGGCCCACTTTAGGACACCGGACGTGTTGCTAAGCCTTGCTGTCGCCATCACCCTGTTATGGATGGAGTGAGAACTCCCTCACCACCGAAGCGTGCGGTCGGGCTAACCAGTGCTTGCTAGAAACCCGGCTGAGAGCAGAGCCCGCCCACACTTGGCCCAGCGAGGAGGTGACTCAAACTTCCATCCTTCCTCGCCGCGCGCTGTGCCCTTCGGATAAGTCTAGACTTGCTGAACCCAGTGACTGACCGGAGAGGAAAGGCTCAGCCCTGCCGATCTTTTGGTCCCTGGTGGCAAAGATAACACCAAAGTCCTCCTCCCCATCCCCCACCCCAGTCTTTAACCCAAGAACTTTGCCTAAGTGCTGCAAACAAGAGGGAGGGGCACAGATACTAAACTGAGAAGGAGGCAATGTGGTCACTTTATTTTCTGTCTCTGGCCTTTAGTTTCCCTTCTGAAAGGAGAGGTGTGGACAGCCTCTTCCCTCCTTGCTCTTCTGGCTGACTGCTTGAGATCCCAGAACCTGGAAACATTTTGATGTGTAATACACCTCCATTCTGGCTAGCTCAATTCCCAGGCACTGATTTGCTCCCAGACTGGAATGCAAACTAGGGCTTCCACCTACTGTCTCCACCTGTTGAAAGGCAAAAGCTGATCAGTCAAAAATGGAGGGAAAGGAAGGCATTGACACGGCTCTCCCCATTGTATTTTATTTATTCATTATTATTATTATTATTATTAGTAGTAGTAGTAGTAGTACTAAGAATTGAACCCAGGGACACTTCACCACTGAGCATTACATCCCCGGCCCTTTTGAGTTTTTGTTTTGAGACAGGGTTTCTAAGTAGCTTAGGGCCTTGCCTAAGCTGCCTGAGTTATTGGGATTATAGGCATGTGCCAGRGAGCCTGGATTCTCATAGCTTTTAAATGACAGATTATGGATGAACAGAGTAACGATCAATATTTTTTTAATCATAACTTCTGGTTCAAAACAGGGGAGATACACTTACAAGTTCACTCATCCTTTCACAGGGCACAGCTGGGCTGTACACTGAGGGTGCTCCTAAAGAGGGCTGAGCCCATCATAGAAGTTCCCTGCCAAAGCAAGTTCTAAGACATTTTCATGSGAGTACTTTGGGGAGGGGCCTGATAGAACTGGTGACTCTGCTCAGGTTTTTGAAGTCATCAATAGACAGGGGAGGCAAGAAGGGTCTCCCACAAAAGGAACAGCATGTGCAGAACTCTATGTGTTCTAGAAACAGCACAAAGGTGGTCAGCGTTTTAGACTGACACAGGATCTAAGGGGTGGGGAATTGGAGTTGAACTGGAGACTGGGAGAGGGAAGGCAGGGGCCAAATCACAGAGGATCATTATGAGCTGGGAATTGAACCTGTAGATAGCAGAGAGCTGCTGGAAGTTCTCAATAGGTGCAATAGGGTGGGATGGGTAATTTTAAGAAACTTTCCTCTGGCTTATGGGTGGCACTAGAGGCTGGAAGATCAATCTGGAGGCAAAGTATTCCAGCCTCCTAGAGTCAGAAGGTCCTGGATTTTATCCTACTCCCCTGCTTCCTGGCTCTGTAGCTTGAGACAAGTAATCTCACCTATCCATCCAATTCTCAGTCTCCTCATCCTTCAAATGAGGATACTCATTTCTGCTCTACTGATCAGTTGTGAATGTGAATAGGACAATGTATTACACATGCTAATAAGATGAGAAGTGGTTTGCAGTATGTATTACATTGTGCAGACATTTGCTGGGTTGCACTGACAATAGAAGACAGAAACCACATCTTCCCTGGTCCTAAACCTGATTTCACCATTCACAAAGCTCTAAGCATCCTGCAAGTATCTCCAAGCAGAAAGAAACTCTCTGTCCCTGACAATTCATTTATTTGGCTTACCCACTTCCCATAGCCAAGCCCTGTGCAGGGGAGGAGCTGAACAGAGATTTGTAGACAAACTAGGGATAACTCAGGAGCCCAGGGGGAGAGTGACCCTTTGGTGATGAGGGGAAGATTAGACTGGGAAGGCCCCACAGAGGAAGTAGATTTTGACTCAAACAAGTGAGAGTCTGCAGTAGACAAAAGAAGGATCCCTTTGTCATCTCTGTCAAAAGGAACAGCCTGTGCAGAGGCAGGGTTCCTGGGGACTGATTCACCTCCAGCCTGGAAAGCTGTCTTTACACAATGGGTTTTATTTTTATTTTATTTTTTGCAGTGCTGGGGATTGAATTTAGGGCTYCACACATGCTCAGCACATAACCAGCCGGTGTTTAAACAGGGAGTAATGATAGTGTCCTGGTCCTCTGTTGGGAGGTGCACTCTGGCTCCCAGCATGACTGGCAATTAGAAACAGGGGTCAGGCACCAGCCTGTTGCAGCAGGCCCCTGAGCCCTACCTGGGCAGGGAAAGGTGGCTACCCAGCTTGGGGAAGAAGGAAAGAGAAGCAGACCCACCTGCTTAGGGGTGGCTTCTGGTTTGACACCAAGTCCTCATTCTGTCACAGACAACACAACTGCTTGCTTCAGCCTGCTTTGGCCTCTGAGACCTTTCCATCAGTCCTTATCAGTTCTCCGGCAGATCCTGGTTAGGGTCTGGGTGATGAAGTGAGAGAGACTCCAAGGTCTCAGAGGATGAATTTTAGATTCTTCTCTATCCTCTGCCTCAGCATCTATTGGTGTTACAGTTCCTTTCTCTTTCCTGGTCTCTGCAGTCACCCATTAGGGGGCAGGAATCAACATGCAGTGAGAACCCGTCCGTGCCAGCCCAGAACTGATCATCACAGTGACTCGCTGGAGCAGTACTAGGCTTCTCACACAGTACAGAGAACACTCAGATTTGGGTGAGGGCACCCACAAGGCTTGCTGCAGGTAAGCCCTAGAGTGTTGGAGTCCAGCTGCCTGGCTTCAGAGCCCCTTTCCTCTGTGCCATACTCTCTCCCACAGTGTCCACACATGCTCTCTGATTAATGGGAATATGAAAGTCTTTGAGGAAGAACACAGTGGAAAGAGAAAGCAGCACTGTGAGCCTTGCCCATCTCCCTGTACACAGTCCTCCTTGGGCAAGGATGCTAGGCTTTCAGACCCCATCTACACCAGGGCTGATGTCATGGAGGAGGCCAGGTGCTGGGTATCAGAATACCTGGGTCCTGAGTCCAGCTCTTATCCCCCCCACTGGCTGTGTGACTCACTGAACCTTTCTGTGCCTCTTTAAACAGCCATAAGTGCAATGCCATCTAACCTGCTGACCTTGCAAAATGACAGAACAGATAAGGAAGCATAGGAAAGGTTGAGCAGTGACCTTTGGTGCCCGAATTATATTCTAGATGCCTGCTGTGTCTTCATATAGTACCTGCTCTGTGCCAGGCCAGTGCTCAGCTCCAGAGACATAAAAGTGAATCTCTCTGCCCACAGGAGGACAGACCGGTAAACATGTAATTACCATCCTGYGCCATAAGTTGTAAGCTGTTGTTCACGCAAGTGGAGAAGAGTGGCATAAGGAGACCTGGATTTGGAGATAAGATGTCTGGGTTTGAGTCCTGGTTCCTCCATACCCAGCTTAATGAGGTCCCATTCCTTGCCTGAAGAATAGCGGCAGCAATCTCCAGGATTGTGGGGAGGCAGAAACTAGAGCAAGGCAAGGAGCGTGGCAAGCAGGTGTGCCTGTGCAGACGTACACCATTAGCAATTTTGCAGGGAGAGCTGGCCCTCAGGGCTCCAGGTTTGGCCTTGCATTTCCAGAACAGACTGGGTGGTCAGAGGATGGGACACTCATGAAATTTCTACCTATGGAATTGGTTGGTTAGTGTCAGATTGCTCATGACCAAGGGGAGTTGGGGGGAGGCCACCCAGGGGGAGGAGCAGCTGGTCAAGGCAAAGGCCTATCTCTGGTGGGTGCTAGGACCTGGGCCAGGCTGCAGCTTGGCCTCTTGCCCCCCTGTGTCAGGGGCTTCCTGGAAGATGTTAGGGGCAGTTGGAAAATTTTTTGAGCCAGAGATGATTTGGTGGGGCACCAAGGGCAGGCAACTAGGGCTAGGAAGGCCTGGCTCAAACCCCGAACCCAAGAGATGCCCTCAAGGAGAAGGAAGATTGCGGTGTTGCCAATAGACACCAGCAAGGTGACTGGAGAAGTCAGCACAAGCAGCCATGGGCCTGCTGGGTGCCTGGCACTGCACTGGATCCTGGGTGGGAAGCTTCATAAATCATCTCCATCACCATCTAACTCGCACCGAGCACTCACCATGTGGCAGATAATGAGCAACAGCTTCACATGCTGTCATTGAATCCTCTAACAGTCCTCTGTTCTTATCTCCATTGAGGACACTGAGACACAGCAGGGTTGAAACTTGCCRAGGCTGGATTCCCACCTGGGACTGGGTCTTGTTGCTTGCTGGGCTCTTGACTCGTCCAGCTCTCTGCTGGTACATATACCCCACCAGAGCTGCCCAGGTGACGGAAGGGATGCATAGATGAAGAAGGCTGGCATCTGCCCCTACTGCTTACACTTCAAGTCTGAAATGGCAGAGAACTCACTCAGCAGCCTCTGAAGGAGGCCTACTGGTAGCCTGTGGTGTGCGGCCAGGAGGGAGGGGCCTGCAGCCTGCTTGGACAGAGTGGGCTTTGTTCTGCTGGTGGGGCCAGGTGTGTGGATGTGTGCCATGCCTGCAGCAGTATGATCTGTCACGTCCCAGCTCCTGGGTCCTGCCATGCCATTCCTTCGGTGTTGCTGCCCCTCACTGGGCCTCAGTCACCCATGATCTCCAAGGGACCATGGAATTCTTGGGAAAGTGAACAAACACTGAGAGTTGTTCAGAATCCATAAAGGTGACAGCTGTTGCCACTCTGGCTATCAAGGAAGGTYCAAATCTACCTTGGGCAAGGGAGGAAGAAGGTGGCACAATTTGCAGATGGCCTCCATGCCTGGGAGGATTCAAGCTCTATAGCTAAAAACACCCCAAGGGGGCCATAATGGGCCAAAGCTGTTTTAGAGAAGCAGCTTATAAAAGGCCTGGAGTGCCATGCAGGGAGAATTCCCTGGGGCTCTTAGGCCCATACCATTTACTCTTATTGTCCTAGGACTTCAGCAAACCTTCTTTAGAGTGACTGTGGACTTGGCACCATGGCCCAACAGTGAAAAACTCATGGCCCCAGTCAGGGTTGACTTCACGGTATCTTCTAAGCCAGGGGCAAATGTAATCTCTAAGCCCTTGTCTTTCTGCCTGTGTGTTATGTAACCTGGTTGATCAGTAGATGGGTCCTTGGTTCATCCAGCCCTGTGTTGGTACACACTCCCTACCAGGCCTACCTCGGCAGGTCAGGTTTTGGTGGGGGAGATGATCTTGACCCAGAGATCCCTCTTCTCCCTTGTCCTTCTTTGGTGGCCACTGGTCTGCCTTTTCCTTTCTTGCAAGGGTGGAACACAGGTCCTAGGAGGAGACCAGGTTAATAGTACTGTACAGACAAGAAATTGCTCAGAGAAATAGAGAGCTACAAAGGTCACACAGATCCAAGTCTTCTGAGTCYCAGGCTTGCTATTGGTGGGTCTCTGTCCCCACTGCTGGTCTATAAGCCCCAAGAGAACAGGTCCCTGGTTTCCTCTCCACCCCCCACCCCAACCTGACCCTGCCCAGTGCTTTGTGCTTAATAGAGCTTTAGTAAGCACTTTTGTTAAATTTTAAACTCCTAAAACTCTGGAGTTGGTTCATCTAGACTAAATACTTATTGCGCAGATGGAGAAACTGAGGCTCAAAGAGGGGCAGGACCTGACCAATGATGGGGGCTGTCCAGGGCAGAGGGGGGATGAAGACCTAGGGCTCCTGACTACTCCCCAGGACTTGCCAGCATGCACAGTTGCCCTGTTTCCTCCCTGTCAGCATCCTGGAACATGGTAAAGGAGCTTGGGATAGTCTTTGGGTTAYCTGTCTAAGGGATACCATTGTGTGTAGCCTGTGAGAGACAGACCACCCCATAACTGAACCTGTCTTTGTCCTGGTGTGCTGGGCCTGTCACCCCTGGGACCTTTAATCCTTACAGAACCTCCTTGAGGCAGGGACTGTTCTCTCCATTTCTTCTCCCCCACAACTTCCAGAGTCACACAAGCTAGCAGGTGAATCTGTGAATCCTCAGTTTCCTTTGCTCTAAATGGAGARGACACTCCTGGCTTTGCTGGGTGTCTATAATGATCGGACCAGAGGAGGTGTGTCAAGTACTAGCATTCAATGAGGACTGGCTCTGTCACCGTGGGCGCTTCCACTGTGAATGCTCAGTCCTGGGCCTAGCCTTGACATTAAACGGACCCTGGGAGAGGTTCACTGGGCAGAGCTAAGCAAAGGTCTGTCCCAGTGCCTTGGGAGCATTTACCAGTCATTATCCAGGGGTCTCCATCTATACTCCCACTCCCTTACACCGGCTATTATGACCTTTGCTCAGTTCCAGATGTTCAGGGGTAGGGGGAAGCCTCTCTGAGCATGTGCAGAGCTCTTCACAGTTTGCAGTGTGCTTCAGCGAGGGTTAATTAACTTATGTGAGGAGGGCATAGAAGAAATTACTGTCCTATTGTGCAAGGGACAGGCCGAGGCCTGGAGGGCCAGCTTCTGGGCTGCATTTGAGCTGCCATTACATAAACAGGCGCTCATGAGAAGCCACTTGGCATTTCATGGACACAGCCTATAATCACCCCTGGGAACCAAAGGGTAATCTTGGGGCCCTTTGTGATGTTTGTTTAAACCCCAGGAAGGGTGAGTATGAGCAGATCGGCTTAGCAGGGGAGGTGGGGCCTGTGGTGGTAATGAACTCTGCGGTGAGGAGCTCACTGGGGAACAAAGGGGGCCTGAAGCAACTTAATATTTTCCTTTTGGTTCAGACATTGGAACACTCTGTCCTGCCTCAGCTGGGACCAAGCCCAGGATGCACCTGGGCAGGGTTTAATTCTCAAATTGGCCTCTACAAAAGAAAGGGGTGGGAGAGGCAGGGCGCTTGGGGTGGGGGCAGAGGAGAAGGGCCCCACTTCTCACCAGCCCTGTGCAGAGCCAGAGTACAGATCAAGTGGCTACCGCTTTAAAGTTTCATGCAGGGCTGGTAATGTTATCCAGCAGCTCCTTCCACTGCCCCCCAGTTGAGAAGGTGGGCAGGTCTCTGGTCCATCCCCTCCTGGCCCCTCTCCCACCCTCTTCCCCTGTGAYCAGTGAGAAGGAGACAGGGCATGAAAGCAGGGGTACAGCAGGGCCACACACGAAGAGCCTTCTGTCCCCCAGCAGAGTGGCCCTTGTGCAGGGGAGGAGTAGACTCAGACTTGCACCAACTATGCATTAGAAGCTCTTGCTCCTCCACCCTCTGGTCTCCTGTGAGCAGGAACACAGGCCTTGAGTTTGACCTATATGGGTGTGTGTGACCTTTAGATGTGATGAGATATACATAGTGCCTGGCATAGGTGGCAGCTGCTATTGCAACTATACAGCAAGGGAAACTGAGGTCTGGGGAGGGGAATTGACTTGTAGCATGTCCATGGGAAAAGCCCCGCCTGCACCCTGCCTCTCCACCAATCCCCTGCCAGGCAGATATGAATGCAAGAATTGGAATTGAGCAGGTCTGGGTTCTAATCCTGCCCTGCTTTGTACTAGTTTGGGATAAGGCCTTTGTCCTCTCTGAACCTGTTTTTTTAATGCTAATTGAACCTCTGTTTCTTCATCTGTAATAATGGGGGAACCAGTTCATCTGCCTGCCCAAGATTAAAAGAAGGGCAAGAGAGGTAAAATAGCTATGTCAGCTGGGAATAGGGATCAGGGGAAGGAGGAAAAAGCTTGGGACAGGTATCCCTAAAGCAGGAGTCTAGGAACAGTGSCTCCCATTAGACCGGAGGATATTGCCTCTGGAAAATAGGCCACAGGGGTAGGTGAGGTGGGGGCAGTTGTTATAGGGAAATCCTTAGTCTGGAAGGCCGCAGTAAGGGCTCAGCCACTGCCAAACAGCCACAGGGGCCCTGCTTTGTGTGTCTTTATTTAGTGCCACAACACTTGCAGGGTGATTGTGAGGGTTCAATGAGGTAATGCTGTAAAGTACCCATCACATGGTACAAACTCTGTGAGCACTCCCTAGGGAGTCCAGGCAGTCCATGGGCCCTCACCCCTCAGAGCTGGAGAGGCCAGCTAGGAGACCATCAAGTCCAGTGAGTTCCAAACTGTGTTACTTAAGTTCTGTGGCAGGCATGGCAAGCAGACCTAGAAGGCTCCAGGTCCCCAACTCCAGCCAGAGCAGGCACACTTGCTTCTGCTGATCTTATTTAAGAAAGGGTTCTGCCACCTGTGGTTTAAAGTCCACCAACCTGGCCTAACCACTTACCGTTCAGATGGGAGACTGAAGCCAGAGAGGAACAAGGACTAGGAATTATGAGGAGTATTCTGGGACAGTACTCTAGGAGGATAGGGACCAGTGACAATGTTAGCTGTGTCCAAACACACTGGCTTATATCTTTTGAGGTGGGGTAAAAGCTGTCTGGTGCATTCAGCCCTCACCTGTGGCTCTCTCTCCAGCCCCCACCATGCCGTGGCCTCTGCTGCTGTTGCTGGCTGTGAGTGGAGCCCAGACGACACGGCCATGCTTCCCTGGGTGCCAGTGTGAGGTGGAGACCTTCGGCTTGTTTGACAGCTTCAGCCTGACTCGAGTGGACTGCAGTGGCCTGGGCCCCCACATCATGCCCGTGCCCATCCCTCTGGACACAGCCCACCTGGACCTGTCCTCCAACCGGCTGGAGATGGTGAATGAGTCAGTGCTGGCTGGGCCAGGCTACACTACACTGGCCGGTCTGGACCTCAGCCACAACCTGCTCACCAGCATCTCACCCACTGCCTTCTCCCGCCTCCGCTACCTGGAATCGCTTGACCTCAGCCACAATGGCCTGGTAGCCCTGCCAGCCGAGAGCTTCACCAGCTCCCCCCTGAGTGATGTGAACCTTAGCCACAACCGGCTCCGGGAGGTCTCCATATCTGCCTTCACCACACACAGCCAGGGCCGTGCACTGCACGTGGATCTCTCCCACAACCTCATCCACCGCCTGCTCCCCCACCCTGCTAGGGCCAGCCTGCCCGTGCCCACGATCCAGAGCCTGAACCTGGCCTGGAACCGGCTCCGCACAGTGCCCAGCCTCAGAGACCTGCCCCTGCGCTACCTGAGCCTAGATGGGAACCCCCTAGCCTCCATTGGCCCAGATGCCTTCGCAGGGCTGGGAGGCCTTACACACTTGTCACTAGCCAGCCTGCAGGGCCTCCCCCAGCTGGCGCCCCACAGCTTCCATGAGCTGCCAGGCCTGCAGGTCCTGGACCTGTCAGGCAACCCCAAGCTCACATGGGCAGGAGYGGAGGTGTTCTCAGGCCTGGGCTCACTGCAGGAACTGGACCTGTCAGGCACGGGCCTGGTGCCTCTGCCAGAAGTGCTGCTCCACCACCTCCCAGCTCTGCAGAGCGTAAGCGTGGGCCAGGACAGGCGGTGCCGGCGCCTGGTACGGGAGGGCGCCTACCCACGGCAGCCTGGCTCTAGCCCCAAGGTGGCACTGCACTGTGGAGACACCCGGGAATATGCTGCCAGGGGCCCAGACATCTTGTGACAAATGGCATGGCCTGGGGCCATGTGACAGACTGCTGCCTGGGCTTGCTCAGGTCCTAAGTAACTTATATTTTAATGTGCCAGTGTCAGCGGGGAGTCTGCAGGCCCATGCCCTGCAGAGCTGTGGCCTAGGAGGGGCTTTGCTCCTGGGAATAGCACCTGGGAACAAAGTGCCCCTATTACTCTCTTACCCTCTCCCCAAAACCATGAGCAGAGGGGCTTGGATGTCAAACCAGATTCTGGTCCCTTTCTGCTGTCCTCCACACTCGTCCCCTAAGTGCCTTCCCTCTTGCCTGGGCTGACCTGACCCATGATGGGAGGAGGATGGGTGGGAGCTACTGCTGCAGGAGACTCAGGTCCAGTGGGCTGTGTCCCCTTGGGCCCACAGTCTGGTCACTCAGGGGCAGGAGTTTCTGTTATATTATACCCCTTCTTTGGTCTGGGTTCACAAGGCCCATCTTATCATTTTTCTTTTCATAGAATGTTGGGTAGAACCTTAATTATAGGAGGGACTGGAGAGAAAAATCAAGTCTACCCATGAGAAAATGAGGCCTAGAGAAGCCCTGTCCAGGCAGAGGCAGGACTGGAGCCCAGTCCAAGGCCCTCTGCACCTACCTGTCTTTGTGAGGTCTTCCCTTCCATCTTTCCTTCCTGGGCTCCCCTTGCTGTTGCCTGTTCCATTTCCCCTTCATCCCCAGCAGCAGCAGTAGCAAGACAGGTAAGGGCCTCAGAAGTGGGACTCTGGGTCCAGTGGTCATTCATGTGGCATGAGCAAAGTCAGTTCCCCCTTCAGAGCCTCTGGAAGCTTGGGGCATGCCAGTCCCAGGCCTGCAAGTTTCTCACTCTGGGGTGGGGGCCCCAGTATCAAGACTGGAAATGAATCCATATTCCCCTGAGACCCTGCCTCTAGATGCTTCCCCAAGTTGTCAATGCAATTCTGGAGTCCCATCTGGCCATGAGCTCCAACAGGGCTCCTGGATTCAGTCCCCGTGGGCCTGAACCCAAAAGCTCCTCTCACCCTCCCAGGAGTAGAGCAGGAAGAGGCAGRGTCTCCCCATGCCATTTAAACTCCACCCCTAGGGCAGCATCTCAGTGTCCCAGCCCTGGGTTCTTTCCTTTGTGTTCATTTGATAAAAGTGTTGCCTTTTTTGATGGACTGTCACTTTCACAGATACCCACACATACACACCTCTGCTGGCAGGGGATGGAAACATCATTTGTAAAAGAAGAAGAATGTTTGTTCACTTTTGTAATACTTTATCCTGGGCACCTGTTGGCAGGGTTGGGGGAAGTCAGCCATCAGTGGCCCTGTGAGCATCTTGGGGCTGGTCTCAGAGATGCCCAAGGGCAGCAAGAACTCTGGCTTCCCCCACCAGCCCAACCCAGCACCTGACTGGTCCATGATTTAATAAACACTAAAGAGTTCTTTTCATCATGCAGCCAATGTCCACTGACAATCCCTGGGCTAGGTTCTGGGGCCACAAGGATGAATCAAGTTAGGCTCTGYCCTGGCAGGCTTATTTTCCCTGAAAGGCCCAGTAATCTCCCAGAGTTTGAGAAGTGAGGTGATATGAGACACAGAGTCACTCAGATGGACTAGATCTTTCACTGGAGCCTGTACCCCACCCACCTTCATCTTCCCTCCTACTGCCCACTCCACCCATCAGCTGTCCAGCCAAAGCTATGAGCTTACCAAGCCTTGCCCATCTCTGCCTTTGCCCCATCCGTGCCTCTCAACCTCCTTCCCACCCAGTCTACCCTGTTAGTATCTCACCTTAGAAGCTTTCCCTGAAGTCCCCTTCTCCCTTCTAAATGCAACAGTTTATCCTTCCTTGGCATTTCTGTTGCCACAGTACCCTAATTCCCATTTGCACACAGGGGCTCAAGTTCAGCTCATCGGGATGCATTTGCTCTCTCACCAAGTTCTTTCTTCTAACCGGCTGGTCTGCAGGAGTGTCTATCACTATGGTCACCAGTGAGAAGCTATGCTGATACCTGGTCTGTGCCAGGCCCTGTGCTAGACTGCAAGATGACTTCACCTCAATCTCTGCCCTAGGAGGACTTCCATTCCTAGGATGGGAGAGGTGGAGACACACAGAGGACCCCTGGCTATAGGTGCAGCTCTGGGGCAGTGAGAGCCTTGTAGAAGATCCATACAGCACAGAACAAGTGGACCAGACAAGGGAGGCTTGGAAGAGGTCATGGATGAAAGGGTCAATGCACAGAGTCTAGAACATTCAGGCCATGGATATGCTGCCGGTGGGAAGCTTGCCTTTTTCAATCAGGTCTCCCTAGGGAGGCCTACAAACCATAGTTGCTGATTCCCAGCAGATACTGTATGAAAGAGGCCTGTGCAGAAACCCAGGCCCCACAGTCTGATGTTCCCACGAAGGTCCATTTGGGATCCATCCTCCTGGAACCACCTGCATTCTCTGGGGAGAGAAGACACAAATGCAGGTGCTTTCACCCACTGTGTTTGGGTCTCCCARAGCCATGTTGCCACAGGTGTCCTTCAAGGAGAACCTTAAAACACAAGGATCTTAAAGTTAGAAACAACACATGGGGAGGTAGRAAAGAGTAGGGAAGGGCTTCTGCAGCTTCCGCAGATGCAAAACCCGGCAGGGTTGGGAGCAGACGCCATCACACTGCGGGTTCTTCCGTCCTTACGGGGCATCGCCTTGCACTCTGCAGCCCTCTCCTCCTGCCCTCTTCTCCTGTCTGCCTTGAGTAGCCTAGGAACACCCTAAGCAACCGGCGTCTCTAGGTCCGGTTGGTGCAGCACAAGGACTCCCAGTCCGCAGCGCCACCTTGTGGCCACATAGGGCCAGGCACCCCCAGAGTTCGAGCCAGGACGCGGATGTGAGGGCGGCTGAAGGCGAAGWGCATCTGCGCAGTTTGAGCGGCTGGTCTCAAGTGCATCTCCCAGTTTGAGTCGACCCATGCCTGGGCCTCACCCGGCACCTAGGATGAGGGCGTTCGAACCTGACGGAATCGCAGAGATTCCTACGAAAATAAATARTTTTGAATTCACAGGGAAGGGTTAAAGTCCTGGGTTTATCGCCAACCACCAGTGTGACTTTGGCATAGTCACTTCTCCGAGCTTGGAAAATGGGGATGAAAATTTCTCTGTCCACAGGATTGTGTGAGGAGCAAATGACCAAATGACGTAACATGTGTAAAGGACCAAGGACTGTGGCTGCCACAAACAGAAGCCCCAGAAGTGCCCTTTCCCTCCCTCAGTCAACCACAGAATTATGGAGGCTTTACAGAACCAGGGAACCTACCAGCCGCATTTTGTTAACTTACTCAAAACTGGAGAATTTCATAAAGTTTTAGGTTGTAGAATCACAGAACGATACCCCTATCCTCATTCTCTTAGCTTTCACGTGCCTAATGTGGGACAGGCATTTGTCCATGTCGGGGAGTTTAGAGATGGGAAGAGGCGAGCAGGGTCACAAACATTTCCTTGCACTTCATTTTATGCAGATTCCATTTCCTGGGCATATGCTCCTTGCACTTGTACATGCCACCGTTTTCTCCTCACACCTGTACCAGGTATTTTTGTCACCACACAGATGAGGAAACTAGCTTGGCCTGCCTCATCTGTTAGGTGTCCATTCCCCCATTCTTCCTGTCCTACCTCAGGGACTGGGCCAGTGCACCTCCCAGGAATCAGAGAGGGTGGGGGTACTCTGAGACTCCAAAGAGCACTGGGATTCCATCTATTTCTTTATTGCAAATAAAATGGGGCAAGTTATGCAGCTCTAAATATCTCCAACCAGACCATTGATTCTAGATCCTTAAAAAATCCAAAGGTAGAGCTGGGGTTGTGGCTCAGTGGTAGAGCACTTGCCTAGCACGTGTGAGACACTGGGTTCGATTCTCGGCACCACATATMAATTTTAAAAAATTAATAAATAAAATAAAAGTCCATTGACAATTTTAAAAATATTTTTTAAAAAAGCCAAAGGTCAAGGTCCTTCCTCTTCTGGCTCCTTTTGGAAGATGGGAAGATTGAAGCCCAGAGAAGAGCAGCCCTCAGTTCCTTGACACGTGGCTGGGATTCTAGTCTTCAGAACTGGAAAAGTAATTTGAGGGACCCTATGTAAAATGACTATGTGGGATTCCTTGTTCAAAAATTAAAAATGTCAATTTGGCAAGAGCAAAGCAAACACAGTCCTAAGGTGGCACTGTGAAAGAAAGTACCCTGCTGAGCCTTTGTTCATTGTGCTTACAGAAAAGAAAGAGGCAAATGCCTAGATAGTGTTGGTCAGGATGACAATCCCTCTAGTTCCAGAACAAAGTGGATAAGAAAAATGCAGTAATTCCTTTCTGTCAGTGTTCTCTCTCCCTCCCTCCATATCTCAATCTCTCTCTCTCTCTCTCTCTCTCTCTCTCTCTCTCTCTCTCACACACACACACACACACACACACACACACACACCCTACTGGTTTTCTCACACCTCAGTCAAAGGACTTTCAGAGGCAAAGGACAGGCAGAGAGGCAGACACTAGCTCCCAACTCCATCAAACCCATTCTGGGGACATTTCTCTGGGCCAGACTGCCAGGGATTAGGAGGTAGAGGCCTACCCACCGCTCACTTGATGCAACTACAGAGTTAACAGTCCACCAGTGCTGAAGTCCTCTCAACCTAAAGCCCACCAAGGGCAATGCCTATGACAATAGAGGCCTTCACAGGCCCATGTGGCCTTGCCCATCCATGTCCAGTGCTCCTTGTTGGCTAATGCTCACGAGGTAGCAAATGTCCATTGATAGCTGCTGTTTATCGAATCCATGTAGGCTTCCACCAATGACCAGTATCCATGAAGGGAAAATGTCTGGTGGTGGCAATGTTCTCTGKGTTCCATTGCTCAGTGTCCGGGGAGCAAATTACCATTACAGTTGTTCTGTGCATCAATACCTGGTGCAGTCCCATACTCAGCTTCCAGCAACAGCAAATGTCTGTTCACTTAAGTCACGCGCCCTGTGTTTATTCTTCTCTTTTGTTTCTCATCTTTTATTTATTTAAGTACTAGTGGTTGTATTTGTGGAGATTATTGTGTTTGTTGAGTTTGGAGGGAAATTCTTCCTGTGTTTATTTTTTAATTCCCAAAGCTATTTATCACTTATGTATTCATTAGTCAAAAGGTTCTGAATTGGGAGTTCATGCAGACATTTATGTTTCTTGACATATACACACGTGTATTTGTAACGTGTATGTTGAATTATTTAAATACAAGATACAGGAAGTCACAGAAAAAGAGGATGAAGGATGAGCATATCAATTTAGGAACAATTTTCTATTAGTTGGTTCTTGGTAGCAACAACTTTTCCAAAGTTAAATAATGAATTGAGGGGGTCCACTCTCCTGCTGGTGTGAAGAAGGACAGAGGGCCCTGCTTTGGACTGAAAAAGTCAGCAGGTTCCCTAATGAGATGAAGCACCAAGGTCAGGGGCACCTTAAGGCAGCATAACTTTCGGCCACATCCCAGGGTACAAGAAATGATGCCTGGGCTAGAGACCCKGCGCTGCCACTCACAGCCATCCCTGGAAAGCCACCAGCCTCTTTTAGCCTCAGTTCCTCCCCTGTAAAATGGGGCTACTGTTCTCCCTCACAAGACTGCCATGGGGGTGAGTAATGCAGGCTGAATACTTAGTAATGGTGCCTATAGTAAGCAAAATATTATGTATCTTTATTTTGAAAAAAAATTCTTTTGWCAGATTTGTAAGCCTGCTATGGCTCAAAATATTCTCGGGCAGATTTTCGTCAGGGGCCATTAGCTCTCAGCGGGGGGATGTCATGGAAACTGCAATGCTGAGAAATTAGTCTGAGAAGAAAGTGTGCCTTCTGCCCCAGCACACTCCAAACCAGATACACAGCTTCCTCTGGCTTAAGTCTCTTTTTTAAAGTTTTTAGTATTTATTTGTTTTGTTTTTATTTTTGAGTTGTAAATGGATGCAATACCTTTATTTCATTTATTGATTTTTGTGTGGTGCTGAGGATCAAACCCAGTGCCTGACTCATGCTAGGCAATGGCTCTACCACTGAGCCACAACCCCAGCCTCTGGCCCAACACTTTTAAAGATACAGTGCCTAGGAAATGTCCTCAGACCCCTGTCCCGAGGTCTGTTTGCCACCACCCTCCCCAGGCCTGGGGGTAGGACTGCAGATGGAGTGGCTGACCTGCTGGGATTGGAGATGAAGGGAAACTTTCCCTCTGCCTTCTTTCCCAAACAGCTTTGCCCTCTGCCTGAAGTTCCACCATTCCTCTTTGGCTTCAGCTTTGATGGTTGTCTGATGTCCCTCCTAGATAGGCA